CGTGGACGAATCGCGTTTTTCTTACAAAGATCTGACGCTCTATTGCCCAGCGTTTCCCCCCCTCCCTCCTCTCCTGAGAGGGGGGCGTTTGAGTCGGAGTTGTGCATGTCGGTATCACGGACCTCGTGCCTTTCCCCTCTCTCCCTGGTGCCCCATTTCGAGAGGGCACGCCTCTCCCTGGGTCGACGTTGCTGGGCTGCTGTCGGACTCACATTGGGTCTCGCAGCTCACAGCTTAAGAGGCTGCGCCCGCAATCTCAACATGCCACCTCGCTGGAAGGACATGCATCCATCCGTCCTTCCTCCCCTCCCTCTCTCCCTCTCTCCCCCTTTGCCTTCCCAGAGGCCTCACAAGTGGGTCCGAATAGGTGGGGTCGAAGGATCGCGCCGCATCGCCGATGTACCAGCGATGCATTCGGCGATGCGTTGGTGACGTCGGAGTGGAGAAAATCTGGCTCCACATCGAACCGCATCGCCTATGCATCGGCGATGCGTCGCGATCTACCGACCCCATCTACTTCGACCCCACTTGGACGACCTAGACTCCCTCCCTCCCCCCCTCCCTCCCTTCCTCCCTTACTGCCTCCCTCCCTCTCTTCCCCCCCCGGACATTTCCCTGGCGCCCATTCTGGCCAATCTTCCGCCCCAGACCGACTTTGAGGGCGCCGGGGTACGAGAATGGCTTCCAGACGCCGAAAATACTGCAAGCTAGCATTCTCGAGCCTCGCACCCATGGCCCGCGTGCGCGGAAACTTTGATAAACCAGGACGCTGGCGCACCCAAGAGAACTGCAGCTGTGGTTTCCCTCCCGCTATAACTGCCAAGGCCCTCGTTTGCAGCGTCCTGGTCTCCAGGGCCTTGACGAACGCCGAACCTCGAAACCCCAGAGGCCTGACCCTCGAACCACGCCCGCCTCCCTCCTCCCTCCTCGCTTGGCTCCGCCCAAACACCTCCTCATCGTGGTGGTAGAGACGCAAAGCCCGTCTCCAGGGTTTTGCATCTCCATCACCAGAAGGAGGAAGGAGGAGGGAGGAGGAGAGCAGGGAGGAGGAGTGAGGGAGGGAGGGGAAAAGAGAGGAGATGAAGGCCCGGACTCCTCCTCCCCCCCCTCGCTCTGGTGGCGGAGCTGGTCCCCAGGGTCTGTCCCGACCCCCCCCCGACACCCGAAGCAAAAGGAGAGGCCGCCTGTCAGAGTCCGCGCTCGCTTCCCTACCGTCGTGCGGGAGCGCCGCAACGGCCGTCTCGGCGCCTGGGTTGCCGCAGCCGCCTCCGTTGTCGCAGTCGCCGTCGAAGGAGGAGGGGGAGGAGGGAGGGACAAAGGAGGAGGAGGAAGAGGAGGAGGAGGAGGAGGTGGAGGAGGAGGAGGCGGAGGAGGAGGAGGTGGAGTATGGGTACCCTGAGAAAAGAAGAGGGCAGGCGGGCACGAACACGAACTAGAAGAGGGCAAAGAGTTAGTCTCAGCCGCCGTGCTCTGGCCTAGCTCTCTCTCTACCTGTAAAGCCATGCGAGGGCAGCGCGGCGTGAGGCGACCAGGTCTGCTTGCGAGACAGCCGCCGCGCGCGCGCTGGCAGTGGAAACCATTTCATGGAAATATGGAATGCCAGAACGATCCTTGAGACCGTTGACGGCAAAATACATAGGGCTGGTGGGGTCAGCTGCATATGCTGCGGCAGGGCCCAGCCCCCATGCCGTCAGCGTTGATTGGATGAGGGGGAGGTCGGTGAACCAGAGGAGCCTCGAAAGGGCGGGGCAAGAGAGGTAGTGCGGGAATGAGTCAGGTGCGTCCGTGCATCCGAACGCGCACTTGCGCTGCTGCAGGATGTGCATTCTAGCCGTGGTAGTCCAACCACCGCTGAGGGTCTTGACTGTGGCCCAGCGCCAGCTCGGGCACAATTGAATTGAGAGCGTCGGTCAGTGCCTCCCAGCGCTTCTATAGCTCTCCAGGTACCAGGGGCGCTTGAAGGCCCCAGGCAAGGAGGCGTTTGGCAAGCGTACCCGTGAAAAGGTGACTTAGAACACTGGTCGCGAAGCTGGACTGAATACGTGCGTTGGAACTTGGCGCGTCGGGGCGGGTTCGCTGCTGCCGCATATCTCTGCTCCCTGTTAGCAGCGCGGGCGGCAGAGGCTATCGACTGACTAGAGAACAGCAACTGAGCTTCGTTGCGCATGAGAGAACGGCAATGCTGTGCGATGGCTGTCTGGCAAGACCAAGATGGCGGAGGCCGTGCGCCGGCCGGCCAGCGGGGAGCGTTTTGTAGCGCGATGTCTTCTTTTGTAGTTCCTCCAGGCTGGATCTTGCGGCGGTGCAACTGGTCGCAGTTGGGCGCCCCTGTGCGCGCCGCGAAGACAAGAGGCAGCGCTGCTGTGCTTGGCCACTGGTCTCGGCGCCAGAGGTTTGCGACAAGCCCGATACCTGCTGGCGACGCACGCGGGCGTCGATCATCTGCCGCGCTATCCTGCGTCACCACTGGGGGTCCTGCGCGCCGAAGACCACGATCCTGATGCCGGCGTCCTTGACCTGGGCACGCTAGCCAAGAAGGCAATCGAGGACGCGGTGAACCTCGCCCCTACGGGCGTCGCACGTAGGCCACGGCATGCTGTAGCTGGCACCGGGGGGCGCGCTCTCGGACGACGACCCGACGTCGCCCTCGAACCCGAAGACGCGGATGACGTCGAAGCCGTGGTCTTGTAGAGCTAGTGGTGTGTCCCCGTTCTTGTCCTGCTGCCCGCATCTACCCGGACAGGTCGGCGGGGGCGGCCTAGCGGGCCGGGCCCGGCGATCTCGCGGCGAGGCAGTTCCTTCGAGCCTTCGGCGCCGCAGGTGCCGAGAGACCTCCCGGAAGTCGCGCTGCCTGACTCTCGGGGCGGAGCCCTGGCCGAAGAACGCCGCGCGAGTGCGCCGGAAGCCCCCGCGTCCACCCGCGAGGTGACGGGGGCAGGTTGCGCGCGACCATGGTCTCGGCATCGTCGATGATGCGTTGCGCGGCGAGTTGGGCGACGCGGCGGCAATGCTCGACCGCGTGCGTCAGCGGGATGGCTGTGCTGACTGGTCGCGCCATCGCGGGAAGTCGTCGCGATGTGGCAGATGGCCCCCCAACTTGTTGCCTGTGGCCCGTTGCCATCTCCTGCTGCGTGCAATGGGGTGGGCCACTTCTCCTCGGCGGGCTGCAGCCTTGCCAGCTGGGCCTTGTGGGCCAGATTCACGTTGAATCCCGATCTCAAAGATTTTTGCCCAGGCGCCACCGTCGACAATGACGCCTAATCAGCCACCTGGTCGATCAGCGCTCTCCAGGTAGTGCGGCGAACCGTCGATGCACTTGAGCCTATGCCCGACGAAGTCGACCATCGCGGGGGCGTCAGCATGCGCGGCGGCATGCGCGAGCCCAGGCGGGCGTCGCAGGGCGCCGCCGCGCCCGCGGCGGACGCGAATCTGGACGCACTGCCCGGCGACAGCGCGAGGTCTTGCCGAGGCGCCCCTGGGCCGGGGGCGCCTCGAGAAGACTGCGCGATGTCCTGCTGTGGAGGTGTCTCCACGGGCGCGCCCCTGTCTGCTGCCTCGCGGCCGACCCCGCAGGCGACGGGCCCGTCGGCGCGCGATCTGCGCCGAAAAAGCCTTGGAAAGTCTGTGTTCTGCGTCGGCTGCAGATCGCATGCATGGCAAGATGCGATGCCACTGCAAGCGCGCCACCCTTCGCCTTGCTGGGAGGTCGCGAGGCAGACGGGGCACGCCCTATCGTCGCCGGTGACAACCGCGACTGAGGGAGGCCCAGCAGGCGCTGCAGCCGGCACAAGGAGGATGAATAAGGGTTGCTGTCCAATTCTGTGCTGCCTGACGTCGCTCCTCGCCCAGCTGCCGCATGAGCTCAAGTGATAAGTGCGCGCTGTGCAGCTCGTCGGGGTGTCGTCGTTGGGCGCGGGCCAGGGTTGTGCCTGCGTTGTGCTCGGATCGTCCGCCAATGGCCATCCAGGTCTCGCGGCCAGCGAACCACGTAGCAACTCCCTGACAACGCTCGCGCCGACGGGGCTGTTCTGGTTGAACAGAGTCAGCCAGCCCATGGGGGGGGCTCCGGCACTGGCGGCGGCGGCGACGCAACTGCCAGCGCAGACTCTGCAGACTGAGTTGGCCGCGCGGAGCTCGATCCACGCGGGGTGGTGATGCCGAGGGCTGAGGCGGGAGGCGCGCATGCCCAGCTCGGCAATTTCGCATCGACAAGCGGGGCCGAAATCGAAGCGACTCACGCATTAAGGTCGCCTGCTCTGTCGCGCCCCTCAACTTGCCCCAATGGGAATGCGCCGCCTCCACCGTCGTGATTCTGATTGCGATGGTGCTGATGATACTACAGGGGCCGCTAATGCTGATGGCGCTGCAGGCGCTGCCCCCCCCCCCCGCCGCTGCCGCGCGGGCCAATGGCGCAGTCGCTGGGCCCGCCGGCCGCGCAGAGTCTTGCGCGCGGCCCATGAGTTACGCCATCTCCCGTCACAGTCGTCACATCTCGGCGTCGCGAGGTTTGGGTGATGACGAAGATGAAGGTGATGCCCCTACCCGACGCGACTAATGGCTATGGCCAAATTGTTGTCAAGAGTCGTCACGCGACGCACTAGGCGTGGCCGCTGGCGCTGCCGACCGCGGCGCTAGCGCGGCTGGAGTCGACTGCCCGCCGTTCCGGGGGCCAGCGATCTGCGTGGGATCGCCCCCGGTGCCCGGAAACGCAGATTGCGGAGCCCCGCTAGCGTTCCTAATCATCCACGCTGCGTTCGCTCCTGGCACGGGCTGCTGATCGGAGGGCCCTGGCGGCCCCCGCCGACCCAAACGCGCGAGTGGTGAGCATGTCGGTGGTGGCGATGATGCTGCGGCGTAGGCGTTGAAGAAAAGAACGCGCCCTCCGTCGCGGCGTCGGGGGCGGTCGCGCACGCAGTGCCACCTGGAGTCGTGCTCGCGGCGTTGGAGACGCACCCCGCCAGGGCCCCAAGGGTTGCCTTGGCGGCCTGAACCCGCGGTGCTGGCCCTGACCCCCCCTTCGCTCAGGCTCGCCATTGCCCTTCCCGGAGCCCGCGAGGCCCCGCGGGAGTCGTGCCCAGGCAGATCGGCATTTTTTCAATGACCCTGCGGACGCGGCGCGTGGGCTAGTTGTTGTTGAAGCTGCGCCAGCGTGCTTCAGCGCGCTCGCGAGACCGAATAGAGGTGCGCGCCGCGCTTTTCCACGGGAACGTCGCGTTGCTCGGGGTCGCCCGCGGTATCGCCTTCGCTGAATGAAAAGACGGCGTCGGTCTCAGTGACTCAGTCGACGCCTGCTGTTGGGGGCGCCCCCTGCGCTGGCGGCGCCCGGCCGGCGTTGCAGGCGGCTGCTGGCGCAGGCGGGCTCGGCGCCGCCCTCAACGTAGCCGGGCCCGCGCCGTCCCAGCTCGATCCGACCGCGGCGCCGTGCCCGATCTCGCGCGGGCGCGCCCGCGAGGAAGGCGCGCCGCTAGGCTGGCTGGGCCGCCGCGGCGAGGTTGCCCGGCGACGCCTCAGTCATGCGCCCGAGGCGCGGCCCGTCACGCGCGCGAGCTGCGCTGCCATCGCGGGGCAGGCCATGCAGTAGCGCTGCAGGATCGCGGTCGGCTGGGCGCCCGACGCGCCAGCGGCCCGCCGCGGGGGGAAGCTCAGGCCCTCGCGCCCGATCATGAATTGACCAGCTTGCCCCGGTCGGTTGCGGGGGACGTCGAAATCCGCGACGAGGTTGTCGACGCTCCCGAGGGGGCAGCGGGGCGAAGTTCATCGGCGCCGACGCTGCCGAGGCGCGCCCCGCATCTCCCGATTGGCGCCACCGTTCGGCCAAACTGTGAATCGGAAAGGTCATTGGTGGCGCTGGGTTGCCGTTGGTGACTCTCCCCTGGGCCTGGATAGCCGGCGGCCATTCGACCGCTCGCTCGCGCGCCGTGCCTGCGAGGCGCGTCGAGACCAAAGACGCCCGGCGAAACGCGTCGAGGTCTGAGTTCGCCTTTGGCCAGATCATCACCTCGCGCGTCCATCTCTGGACTGGCATGCGAGCCTGCTGCTCGGGCGCCCAGGTGCGGGGGCGACGCGCGCTGTGGCTGGCGCCGCCCGCGTCCATGCAAGGGGGGCGACTGCCGATGACAATCGTGCCCACTCCGATTGCCTTCCATCCGGAGTGCAGTTCTCTCCGCGCGTCGTAGAGGCACTGGGGGCCGGGGATCCATTGGCGGCGCTGTTCGGGCAGGGTGCCTCGGAGCCGCCGTGGACACTTGCCACGGAATGTGTTCCTCCTCGTCTTCAACTTGGGCGTGTGCGCGTAATTGTCGCGTCTTCAATGCCTGGAACGTCCACGGCGCAGTCATGGGAACTCCCCTCGTACATCGCGCTGTCACTGTATTTTTGGGCGACGCAAAAAGGCGTCCAGCTGAAGAGGGTGGCGCAAGAGTTCTGGGGTGCTTGCATTGCAAATTACTGCGCCGAAGAACTGCATTGCATTGCATTTCACGTAATGGACTGCACGAGAAAATACACCAATAAACCTGCGCCCCGCAGTGTATTGCACGCCCCACATGTATTGCAACCCCACAAACCTATTGCGCCAACATTTATTGCACCACCCCCTTGTCGCTGGACCCCTTTTGGGTCAAACCGAGTACTGCCTATCGCCAGCTGCACGATCGTCAAGAGGAGTGCGCATCGGGACCCAGTCATGCCGGGCTGCAAGGAATGCGTGAGCAAGATGAAAGTCATGTTCCAAGAGATAGATTGAAGACGGGTTCTCCCAGATACTCGCTGTCCCTCGGAACGTCGGTAGCACAGTCTGCTTGTACTTCCCCCGGTTTGGGCGACAGTCGCCAGGAACTCGGGGCCCTTGGTCGACCCCGTAAATGCCAACGTTGAATCGAAAAAGTGTCCGACATTCGTGGTTCGTCCCACAGACGGGTGTAACACAGGCAAAAGGTCCGCGAGGTGCGCCGACAAAGCCAGCGCGAGCCCGGGAAGGATCTCCGAGAGAGCCAGCGCGTGTCCGGGGTCCTTGAATGTCTCGTTCGCGTACTTGTGGTGGTACTGGTTGTGCTTGTTCCCCGTCGCTGGTCCTGGTGGCGGAGGGGCGGCTGCCCCGAATGTGAACAGGTAGAAGTGCACGAGCGCGATGGACGCGGACGACCAACGTGGTGGACGCCTGGGCCATCGAAGCGAGGCATGTGCGAAAAACCATTGCGGCCGTGGTATTTGAACCCAAGTTTCGTTACCAACCCGAGAAATGGAGGTAAGAGGTGAATATGTAGGCGGTCCTTTCCGGTGGACGGAATGAAAGCGGTGAGCGCGAGAATGAATACAGCAGGCACGGTGTATTGATCTGGATTTGAGCCAGAACCGCGGCGGGCCCAAGCAAAGACAGGATGAAAAGGGCAGCGCGTAATGGGTGACACAGGCGTGTCACCCGTTACGGGGGGAGGTGCTCAGGCACCGCTCGAGCAGGAAACTCGGAGTAAGAGGGCAACTAATGGATGAGAAGGGAAACAACCGTCTTGCTCTTTCTGCTCCGCTTCCTCTTGCTGCTGCTGCTGCTGCTCCTCGTCCTCCTCCCCCTCCTCCTCCTCATTATCCTCGCCCTGCCCTCCTCATCCCGCTCCTCCTGCTCCTCCTCCTCCTCCTGTTCCTCCTCCCTTCCTCGTCCTATCTCCCCTTTTTCCCTGCCTATGTCATTTCTCCTCCCTTCCTGCTCTCCTCTTCCTCCTCCTGCTCCTCCTCCTCCTCCTCCTCCTCCTCCTCCTCCAGCGTACCTCCTTCTTCGCCTAATCCTCCTCCTTCGCCTTCCTCGCTCCCAAGACATCCGCCGGCATTGTTGGTTAATGCGCGGCTCCAGAAATCTCAATACCGTCCCCGAGAAGCTGGTCATCATGGATCAACTTGTTATGGTCCTAGGGCCAGGTGCCGGCCCCCAGGGGCCGAAACCAAAGCAAAAACGCGGGATTCAGAGATCATATCGTCGGACATCTGGATCCCTCCTCCCACTCCACCTCATCATCCTGATCCTTGTCCTCCTCCTTCCTCCAACTCCTGCTCCTCCTGCTCCTCCTGCTCCTCCTGCTCCTTCTCCTCCTCCTCCTCCTCCTACTGCTCCTCCTCGTTCTCCTCCTCCTCCTCTTCCTCCTCCTCCTCCTCGTTTTCCTCCTCCTCCTCGTTTTCCTCCTCCTCCTCCTCCTCCTCCTCCTCCTCCTCCTCCTCCTCCTCCTCCTCCTCCTCCTCCCCCTGATCTTCCGCCGAAGACACCGACGCCATCGCCGACGGCGCCGATGCCGACGACGACCCGCACCCAAGGCGCCGTTCCCAGCGCCGCCGCCCGGGGGGTGCACGGGGGCGCCGCGGTGGTCCTCTTGGCACACCCAGGCCACGTGCGCGTCGCGATAGCCCTGGAGGAGGACGAGGAGGGGGGAGGAGGGAGAAGGTTCGAGGATCGAAGCTTTCGGATGTGCTCTGCCTTGGGCCTCGAGGGAAAGCGGGAGGGAGGGAGGGAGGAAAGGCGGGAGGGAGGGAAGGAGGGGGCTCAAGGGGGGAGGTGTGCCGCTTGCCCGCGCGGCCCGCTGGCGCGAGCGCGCGCCGCGCCGCGATGCTCCCGGCGATCGCCGGGCGGCTGGGCCGCGGGCGCCCGCGGCTGGCCGGGGCTGCCGCGCTGGCCCCGCCGTCGGCGCCCGCCCAAGGGCCGTGCGCAGAGGGGTTCTCGAGTGTGCTGCACAGCGTGGACCAGTTCCGCGTGGTCTCTGCGGACCTCACCCGCGGGACGGTCTCCGGCGGCGTCTTCACCACGGTGGCGTACGCCCTGCTGGTGGTCCTGCTGTTCGCCGAGCTGGGGGCCTTCCTGAGAGTTAGCTACTCTACGAACGTCGTCATCGACGACAAGCTTGACGAATCGCTGAGGATCGAGTACGACATCTCGGTGTTCGACCTCCCCTGCAGGTACCGGAAGGTGGGCTCGTGGGACAAGTACGGGAAAGACAGGTTCGTGACCAACAAGTCTTTCACCTATAGCACTCTGGACCACTGGGGGGGCACCGCGGGCACCAAGTACACCGAGGCGGAGATCGCGGTGCTCGAGTAGGCGGACGTGGCCTCGGACATCACGGAGGACGAGGCCAAGGAGCTCGACTCGGACTGGTCCGCCAGCAGCGACCACTTCCAGCACAAAGACTTCCAGGCGGCGGTGACCTTCCACGACTACACGCGGGTGAACTTCTACGCCGAGTGGTGGAGTCACTGCAGGCAGTTCCACCCAACGTGGATGGAGGCGTCTGCCAAGATCAGCGAGAAGATGCTCTTCTCCGACGGCGACGCGCGGCAGTCCACGGTGAAGTACCTGAAGATGAACTGCGTGGGCTTCCAGGACAACTGCAAGAAGGCCAAGATAGCAGCCTTCCCGACCCTGCGGCTGTACAAGCGCGACGGCTCCTTCGAGGTTTTCCAGCAGCATCGCTCCGTGACGAACATCGTCAGATTCTTGACGTCGTCGAGTAGGACCAGCCACTTGATCGTCGCCCGTCATCACATGATGTTCAACGAGGGATGCCAGGTGGCCAGCCAGATCCACGCGCCCCGCGTGCAGGGATCTTTCCACCTCCAGGCGAAGCCCTTCGGCAAGATGGACCTGAACCCCGCCATCACGAACGTGTCGCACCAGGCGTGCGACTATTACTGCTCTGGCTCCTGCACGACGGACTGCGTTCAGCCCACGGGGACGGTAGCCCTGGCGTGCGAGTGTATGTCCTACCCCGACAGCGGCGAGCACAACATGTTCAGCGTGACGCCCTGGTCGGCGGCGGGGTACGTGAAGGTCTGGCTCGGCCTGATTGCTGCCGCCCCTGGCGGCTCTGAGGGGGCCTCCGCGCACGACACCAATGCTCCTTTAACTTGTTTTGCAGGCCGTCTCCAGCCTCCCACCTACCCGTTTGTTCTCCTTCTGTCTTTCCCTCCGCCCCCCTCCTTCCACGCTGGCCTCGCTTCCGGGCCAGCCCGCTTTGCTAACGCTCAGTCAATTAGAAGTACAACCGCTCATGTATTCAAAGTCGGGGCGGCCGGCCCTCCCCATCCAGCCCCCTCCCGCACTCCTCAATCTCCCCCACACCTCCCCGCCCCCGACCCCCGCCATCGACAGCCGACCACGACGCCGACCACGACCTCGACGGCCAGCCGCTCCACAGCGTTCGAACCCGCTCCGAGCCCGACAAGGCGACCCCGCCCAAACGGCACGACCACGGGCGGCGACACGACGGAGGCCCGGCGCCCGACACTGAGCACCCACGCTGACCCCAGCAGCACGGCTCCGTCATCCACAACTGGAACGAGCAGTGCGACGGGCAAACCGATGAGGACCACGTCTTTGACCAGCGCGCTGGAGGATAGCAGCCCAACGCCTGGCAGCAGCACGGAGATCAACAACACGACACCGCCGACATCCACCACTGGATCGAGCGGTGGGGTGAACAAACAAGCGAGCACCAAGCCATTGCCCGACACAGCGGACACCCGCAGAGGGATGGGGAACAGCAGCGCGGCGACGGAGTGCATGACCACGACGCCCGCTACTAGCACAAGCAGTGCGACGACCTATGCGACGAGCGTCGCGTCCCTGACCAGCGAGACGGAGGCGATCAGCCAAACATTACGCAGCAGCGCGAGTACGACACCTACTACGGGCACGAGTACTGCGACGAGCAAGGTGATGACCACCACGCCCCTGACCAGCACGATGGGATCCTGCAGCCAGACGCTGGGCAGCAGCGCGGAGGCCCGCAGGACGCCTCCTACACCGACTGCGGGCACGAGCGATGCAACGAGCAGTGTGACGATGACCACGCCTTTAACCAGCACGGCAGGGAGTGGCCGCCGGTCGCCGACCAGCATCGCGGAGACCAAGAGTGCGATTTCAACAGCCACCACAGGCACGAGCAATGGGACGAACAATGCGACGAGCGCGAGGATACTGACCAGCACGAGGGACACCAGCAGTCAGTTGACTAGCAGCACGGGGACCACGGGGACGATCAGGAGCCAGACTCCGAGCAGCAGGACGGAGATCAACAGCGCGGCCTGGGGCCCCACCACAAGCAATGCGACTCCGACATCGACGTCTCGCAGGAGCAGGTGGACGGGCAGCCCGACGAGGAACACGCCACCGACCAGGACGACGGAAGCCAGCAACAACCCGCGGAAGAGCATAGCGACACAGACCAGCAGGACAGCAACCAGCAGCCCCAGCGCGCCCCCGCACGTGCCCGCACGCGCCCCCGCACGCGGATGGCTTCATGGACACGGGGATGGGACAACAGAAAATCTGGCCTGGCTGACCCTGCCCAGGCCGATGCTTGGGACCCTCCCAGACCCAAGGAGGCCCTGAACAGCTCCGGAAACGGGCTCTCCTCGCCCCGCCCCTCTCCTCCCGTGGCCTCTTTCTGCCCCTCCGCCGCCCCGTTCTCCTGGCCCCCTTGCTCCCCCGTGCCCCTCGTCTCATCCCACCCGCACCGACCCTGTGAGGTGGGGGTTGGCCCTCCGGGGGTGTCACGGCTGCCACATAGAGCCATCGGTGATGGAAACAGTGGCTCGCCGCACCGACTCCATGACACTTGCATGGGCCCGACTAGCGTCCTGGCTTCCACCAGCCGTTGTCGCCCTCTCGGGGCGAGTGGGCAGTTCGACGGGGGCGCCCAGGATGGCTTTGTGCCCCCCCCCCCCCTCTCGGGCATGTTCCTGTCCTCCTTTTCCTCCTCCTTTGCCTCGACTCGTCTCGCCCTCGCCGACGTCTCCTCGACTCCTGTGCCTCTCCTCCTCCTGGGCGCGGTCCTCCCCTCGCTGGCCCCCGCCCCTGCCCTCACCCCTCCCGGGCCCCCCCCTCCTAGGCCTGCTGGTCCTGGGCGGGGGGACTGGCTCCGATTCCTTTCGGTATCCTGCAAGGTCTTTCCCGCGAGGACCCCGTCCGGCTGCTACTAGGAGCACCGCCACGGAAAGCAGTAGCCCGACTGGCAGCACCAAGTCACTATGGGGAGCAGCACGCCTTCAAGCACGGCAGTCTCCTTCTGTTCCTCTGTTTCCCCTGTCTCGTCCTCCTCTTCCTCCACCTCCCCACCCAATGCGGCCGTCTCCCCTTCCCACCCCGTGTCGTCGTCCTCTGCTTCCTCCTCCTCCTCCTCCTGATCCTCCTCCTCTTCCTCCTCCTCTCGTACCTCACCGTCGGTTATCCTTGTCTGCCTGTCCCTTGCCTCTGGGTCATCATCGTCATGGTACTCCTACTTGTCCTCACCCCATCGGAGTAGGGATCTCGGATTCGACGTTGGCGGTGACTTTGACGGCACATACGGCGCCATCGGGTACGACAGGGTCGTGCAGCACCGCAGCCACAACCACCAGCCCTTCCACAAGGGCGCCGAGCTGAACGAGCACCAGTTGAACCAGTGGCACGTACACCACCAATGCCACGAGCACCACTGCGCCCACCTTGCCGTCGAGCTCGCCGAGCGTCCGCGGATTCAGCGGCACGACTTCTTCACTTTTTCCTTATTCTCGGCCTCATCTCCCTGTCACTCTTGGTGCTCCCGCTGGTCCTTATCCGCCTTCTCCTTCCCCATCGTCTCCGTTTCCCCATCCACTTCCTCCTCCTCCCGTGCTGGTGTTCCTCCTCCTCCTCCCCCTCCTCTTCCGTCTCCATCTCCTCCCCACCCCATCGGAGTCGCGAGGAAGGCAGCGGCCTCCACGTTCGGTGTGACGACGTCGGTCACCATAAGGTCGTGCAGTACCACGGCCACCAGGACCGCTGCACCCACGATGGCGACGAGGTCGGCGAGTACCAGCAAGGCCAGCACCAACGCATCCACGAACGCGAGAAGGTCGACGAGTATCAGCGGAAGAAGCGGCACGACACCTACGGAGACCGCGACGGGATGTACGACGTCGTCTGCTACTTCAGGCTCGGGCAGCACCACGGCCGCAAGCACTGGGACAGCCACGAGTACGACGAGCTAGACGAGTACCAGCGGCACAAGCGGCACGACGCTGACTGCAGCTTTGCCTGTAACTGCGACGTCCGTGGGTACCACAGCGCCGTGGAACACCACGGCCACAAGCACCAGCACGACCCCTTCCGCGTCTCGGTGTCGTCCTCATCTTCCTCCTTCTCCTTCTTCTCGTCTTTGTTTTTCCTTCCCCCATCATCCACCCCTTCCTCGTCCTCCTTGTTGACCCCTTCATCCTCCTCATCGTACCTCTCCTCCTCCTTCTCGTCCCCACCCCATCGGAGCTTCGAGGCAAGCGGGGCACAGAGCACAACGTCGTCAAGCAACACCCAGGGACCAGCCGCATGGCTCTGGGCAGCACTATGGGGCCCAGCACTACGACTGGGAGCAGCACTACGAGCAGCACCACCAGCAGTGGCAGTACGTCTCAGACGAGTGGCAGCGGGACCTCGAGCAGCACGGCAATGACTGTGAGTGCCAGTTCGAGTAGTGGGACTTCCACGGCCATTTCCAGGGTGAGCTTCACGACAGCGGCAGAGCCAACCACGGGGTCTACCAACGCATCGGTGGTGAGTGGCGGGGCGTCGCAGGCGAGCGGCAGCGTGACCTCGAGCAGCACGGTAACGACGCGCACGGGCACGAGCAAGAGCATGGCGACGCTTGTGAGTTCCAGCTCGAGCAGTGCGACGTGTTTGGCCACTTCCACGCTGAGCTCCGCGACAGCAGCACCGCCGACCACAGGGACTTCCGGCACCTCAAGGACTAGCAGTGCGTCTCAGGCGAGCGGCAGCGTGACCACGGGCAGCACGGGCACGAGCACGAGCACGACGACGATAGCGAGCACCAGCTCTAACCAATTGATGTCCCCAGCCGCTCTCAGGGGGAGCTCCGCCACAACAGCACCGTCGACCACTGGGACTTCCAGCGCTTCGATGACTGGCAATGCGTCGCAGGCGAGCGGCAGCGCGACCTCGAGCAGCACGGTCACGACGCAAACGGGCACGAGCACGAGCAAGGCGACGATAGCAAGTACCAGCTCTGGCAGTGCGACGTCTTGGGCAACTTCCGCGCGGAGCCCCACGACAACAGCACCGTCGACCTCAAGGACTTCCAGCGCCTCGGTGACTAGCAGTGCGTCTCAGGCGAGCGGCACCGTGACCTCGAGCAGCACGGTCACGGCCAGCACGGGCATGAGCACGAGCACGGCGACGACCGCGAGTACCAGCTCGAACCATGTGACGTCCACGGCCGCTTCCTGCGTGAGCTCCGCGACAGCAGCATCGCCGACCATGAGGACTTCCAGCGCTTCGGCGTCACGTTCGAGGCGTTGGTGAACGCCGCCCAGGGCAACTGAGCTCGAGACTGGGCCTTCGGGGGCGCGCACGTGCAGCGCCGAGCTATTCTACCTGCACCACCAGAGGTCGTGCGCCGCGTCGGCGACTGGGGCGCAGTCTAGTGGAGCCAACGGTACGTCCCCTATGCCAGCCACGGCCCCTCTGCTCGGATCGATTGGGCCGCGATTGCACTTCGGTTTGGACATCGTGTTCGTGGCCACTCGCCTTCAATTCAACATGCTCCTCGGAGGCCTCCTGCTCGTCGCCGAGAAGCCAGGCGTCTGGGCCCCTGGTGGTTTCGCCCTCCTGCTCCGGCCCTGCCTGACCCACCGCGTCTCGACACTCCAGATCCGCGCTCTGGTGTTGGGCAACCCTGTGCCGTGGATGTCGGCGCAAGCAGTCCTCATGGGAAGCTGGCGCGTGCCCGTCGGGATCGCCGCTCTCGGGGCTTACGCTTACAACGTGCACGTCCGGCTGCTCTGGCGCAGGGTCGGGAGCGTTTGCGTGGCCGCCGCTGGAATCCCTGCTGGGGCCACGGATGCTGCGGCCATCTGGGCTGCCATCACTTTCGGCGCGGCGTGGTGGCACCCAACGTTTCCTGATGCCGTGCCGCCGCCTCCCGCCGGGCAGGGGGCGCCTCCGCCGCCGCAGCCGCGCGCCGAGCCCAGACGCCCGAGAGGGCGAGACTTGCGCGCAACAGCCTGGGAGGTGAGTGTCATGAAGACCAGGCGCGGCGCCCTCTGCTGAACGCCAGCTTGCCGGGAATCCCTCGCCACGGGGGACCTGCGGGTGTGCAACCCAGACCTGGCCAACCCGCTCAACTACCACCCTGCCTGCGTGGAGGGCGGCATGGGGCCCTATGGCCAGGTGCGGGGGGCGGAGGCCCTTTCGCCAGAGCAGCAGAACGCCGTCCGCGGCCACTGCGACTGCCCTGGCCGGCCCACCCAGGCAGAGTACGTAGCAAACCAAGAGAGAGCCAAACGCGCCCGGACCGACCCCGACACCGCGCGCCAGGCCGCTGCACTAGGCGGCGTGCCCTTGCTGGAGGAGGACGACGGGGCGCTCGGACCCCAGCCAGGGGCCCCCTCCAGCAGCATGCCGCCCCAACCTGCTAACCTGCAGTGGTGGGTCGCTGCGGACTACGACGCCCTGGAGCAGTGCGCCCCGACGATCCCCCAGGTGCCGGCGAACGCGAGCCCCGCTTTGGCCCGCGGGCGCGTTGCCGAGCAGCTCTTGGCCGCGAAAGCTGCCGGCGATGCTGCCGCCCACGTCCGGGCAGAGAAAGCTTTCACGTTTTTCGACAGAGTGATACTGCTCACGCGGGAAAAACTCGCGGGGGCCAGAAAGCACATACCCTTGGTGGTTTGACCAGGACCTTGACGCGACGTTCGCGGATGGCTGAGCAAGGGGACTGGGGAGGGCTCTGGCGCGAGCCCACGACGGCCACGACCCGCGGGCCGAGGAGAGGAGGCAGCGCTCCAGCAGCCAAGCAGGACGCCCAGGCGGTGGAATCGCTGCTGGACGAACACCTCATCAGCAAGGCGATGCAGCGAGCGCTCCGCCCTAGCGCGCTGGCCGCCGGGCCCGGCGCCCAGGCAGGCCTCCAGAGCCTCGTTCCAGAGGGGCCAGAGCACACCTCTCACATACCCCAGCCGCACCAGACGACGACACTCGCGCAGCCCTGGCTGCGGCCGCAGCCGAGAACCCGGCGAAGAGCCCGCGCCGCTCCGGACCGGGGCCCAACGGCAGCAGAAGTGAGCACTGGCGCGCGCTGCTGGCTGGAAACACTCCCGCTCTCGAGGCGGTGGCCGGCGTCGCGGTCGCGTTCCTGCTCGGCGAGCTCCGCCCGCAGGCCACGCGCGCCAACTTGGGGGCCCGGCTGTTGGTCCAGCGCAAGCGTAACGGGACCCTCCGGCCGATTGCGCGCGGCTCCGTTCTCCGCCGCCTCGCTGCGAGGGCCGCCTGCGACGTCTACAAAGACGACATAAAAGGGCGCAGTCGGCCCCCACCAATACGCAGTCGGCCGCGCGGCGGGTTGCGAACTCGCGCACAAATGTCTCACTGCGCTTTCGGAACTGCGCCCTCTTGGGGTCGCCCTTGCGTTCGACTGCTCCAACGCCTTCAACAGCACCCCCCAGGGCAGGGTGCTGGACAGCGTGCGTCAGCGGGCCCCGCGGTTGTTCCAGAGTCCCCCACAGCTGGCTCACGGGCACCACGCGGCACTACTGGTGGGACGATCCCGCAGACGACGCCCACCGCATTCGGGCTAGCAGCGGCGTGGACCAGGGTTGCCCGCTCTCACAGGCGCTCTTCGCAATCGGCATTGCGGACGCGCTCGACGAAGTCTACGGACACCTCCAGGCCCTCTCGACCTCCAGCAAGGTGTTCAGCTACCTCGACGACATCATGGTCTTCGTCCCGCCAGAGCACGCGAACGCAACCATGCAGGTCGTGACCGACACCCTCACCCGACACGGTCTTACAGTCAACCAGACCAAGACACAGGCACGGTCCGCGGGGGGGCGCGGCCACTTGCCCGCCACCGTCCAGGAGCGCTGGGTCGACCACCTCACGTGTTTGGGAAACGCTGCCCCCCTGGCTTGAGCAGGGGGGAGGGAGGAGGAAGAGGAAGAACGGGTGACTGTCCACGCTGGCTTGGACGGAGCCACGGCCGTGGCCAAGGCAGCGGCGTGTGCCGCCCGCCTACAAGAGCTGCGACAGGCGGGCCTGCGGGCCGAGAGCGCCTTCACTCTCCTGCAGACCTTCGCCCGCGGATGCGTCCCGCACCACCTCCGCGCTAACCTTCAGGGGGGCTGGACAGAGCAGCTGGACCGCGTGTTTTTCGGCTGCCTGGAGGAGCTCGCCGGCGGAACCTTGGACCCCCAACAGCGGCTCCTGGCCACGCTGCCCTTTGCCGACGGCGGATGCGCGTTCCCCTCGGCTACCCAGACGGCGCCCGCTGGCTACGCTGCTAGCTGGGCCCTCCTGCTTCACGACGTTATGGCCTGCCTCGGAGCCAGCTCGCTCAAGGAATTCCGAACCCGTTGCCCGCGGACGCAGCAGACGCTCGACCAGGCGAAGGCAACACTCCGAGCGGCAGACGTCCTCCAGGCGCCTTTCGATTGGATGGGCTGCACAGCAGAACCACAGCCCAAGCTGCAGAACTACTGGGGCAAGAAGGCCTCCGCGGCCAACAGGGAAAAACTGCTGCGGACGCTCGACGAGGACCGCCGCTTACGCTTGCGGGAGAACGCAGGCACGGGCGCCGGCAGCTGGCCCCTCCCGCGCCAGCCAGACGACCCCCGCCAGCCCGACTCGCATTTCTGCGGCAACCTGAAGCGGCGCCTCTGCATCCCGGTCTGCCCGCCTGCCTCCCGCTGCCAGCACCGCCGCCAGGACGGCAGCCTGTGCAACGAGCTCCTGGAACCGCACGGCTTGCACGCAGTCAAGTGCGAGGTGGGTGAGTCCCGCAACAAACGCCACAACAGCCGCCGCGACTGGCACTCTGCGAAGCACGCCGAGCTCACTGGCTTCGCCGCGCCCACGGAGCAATCCGCTCACGCCTGGGACCGCCGACGCCCCCGCACGGGGGTGCTCCAGCAAGCGGTTCTGGACCTCTCCACCAACGACCCAGCCACTGGACGCCACGTCTACGTCGACTGGAGCATCACCTGCGTGCACTCAACCTAACGCAGGGGTGCCCTGGCCGACAAGGATGGTTTGGCGGCCGCCGAGGCGGTGGACAACAAGCGGGAGCGGTGCCCCCCGCAAGGGGGCGAGCTGGTCCCCCTAGACTTCGAGACGGGGGGCCAGCCCAGCGACGAAGCAGTCAGTTTCGTCCGCAGCTACGGGGCCAGTCTCGACGACGGCGAGCACTCCGAGCTGCTGGGCGGACTCTGGCGGCAGATCAGCCGGACCATCCAAAGGGGTAACGCCGAGATGCTGCTGAGCGCATTAGGGCGCTGAGCCGGCAGCCCTCAGCGGACACCACCATCGCCGCCGCGACTGCCGCCGCCGCCCTGACCGACCATCATGACAGCCTTGTCCACCACAACCGCCACCAGCGACCGCGACCCGCACCACGACCCCCAGAATCCCTGCGACCACCACGACCGCCGTCAGCATGACCACAAAACGCGGCCACCACAAGCTCGACCACCACCGGCGCGACCATCACCCGCACGACCACGACCAGAACCACCACGACCACCGCGATCACAACGACCGCCGCGTGGGCGACGACGGCCAGCGCCACGACCACCAGCGCCACAACCACGACCACGACCAGCGCCAGCACGACAACCACCGCGACCACGGCCGACAGGGACCACGACCACGACCCCTCTCAGCACGACAGCGCCGCGACCACGACGACGACCACCACCACCGACGACCCGACCGCCCCCGCCCCCGACCGCCCCTCCCCTCTCCTTTCCCCGCCTCTGCCGGGCCGCCCCTGCTGCCGCGCGAACCTTGCGCTTCCCTCCCCCTTCCACGGATATTCGCTTAAGGCGGCATCCGTGCGGTCGGCCGCGGTGGTCGTTTCGGCACCGTCCTCCGCGGCGTGCTGTGTCCTGCCGGGCACCACGTTGGGGACGGGTGCCTCGGACCTCGCTTCCCTACTCTTGGGAGGGAGGGAGAGAGGGAGGAGGGAGGAGGGAGGGAGGAGGGAGGAAGGAGGATAGAGGAAAGAGGAGGGCGGAGGAAGGAGGGAGGAGGAAGGCGGGAGGGACGGGGGAGGAGGGACGAGGGAGGAGGGAGGGAGGGAGGAGGAAGGAGGAGGGAGGAGAGAAGAGGGAAAGAAACACCCGTGTGAACGGAAAGCTGACTCGGGTGGCCTGGCCCGAAGGCGTTCCGCAGTGCACCAACAGGGCTGGAGACAAAACTGAAGCACACAGAAAATGGAAAGGGCCCACGCTGCAGGTTTGGAACACACCACATCGTTGAGCGGTGGTGCGGCCTCCCCTCAGCATACGCCCCCGGAGGATCAGCCAGACGAGTCGGGTTTGCACTCTCACGCCTTGCTGGTCTCCAGGTTCATTTCGGCACTGCCACTGCCGCCGCCGCCCCCTCGTCAGGGCCACCGACTCGGATGACGGCGACAGCGACACTGGCGGTGGCCGACGCGTCCAAGCCTGGGGGCGTGCAAAGCCATACTGCGAGGAGTTCGACATCCTCTGATGCAGACGGGGGAGCAACAGCAACGGCAGGGAGGGAAGACAAGACACACGAGCACAACAAAACAAAACACGACAAACGTGAGTGAGGCACCCGTACGAGCGGAAAACCAGCTCGGTTGAGTTGGCCCGAAGGCGCGTCGCAGTGCACCAACAGTTGAGGCTGGAGCTAAAACTGAAGCGCAGAGAAACAATTGAAACGCCAAGAGGAAGGAAACGGGAGGAGAAGGGGGTGGAGGAAGGAGGAGGAGGAGGGGGAGGAAGAGGAGGAGGAGGATGATGATGATGAGGAGGAGGAGGATAATGAGGTGGAGGTAGGAGGTAATGACCGACAATCGAGCGTGTTGGACCTTTTCTGTTTTGTTCGAGGGGGCTGCCAGGGCGCTTTCGTCGCCGCGGTTGGATCCGCCTCGGATGTATTCCCAATTATCACCATGCACGTCCAGGGGACCCACCACCGAATCGAGATAGCTTCAAAACTTTCTTCCAAACCCGTTGTGGAAGTCCTGCCCCGTTTTCCACCTTCTTGGCGGACTGCGGATGAGCGCAAAAGGACCTCAAGAAGTCCCTGAGGCCCGCGGAGGCCTCAGGAGCCCTCCATCCGCCCTGGAGGCCTCCGCAAAGGCGAAACCGTCAAGCTGGATCCCGGATCATCCTCCATTTCCTCCCTTCCACTAGGCGGGAATCCAAGTTTGAATAGGGTTGGGAGACCCAACCAACAGCTTCGCCTTAGGCGAAGCCCAGATCCCGCTCTGTTGTACCGTAGTAGCGATAGTCCCAGTAGTAGGGGGCGAGCCATCTCAAACAGTATGTTGGTACCGACGGCAAATAATACACCTCGCGCTGAGGTGTAGTCACATCTGGGCGGCCGGCCGCTTGAGCCACGCGGCCGCGGGCACACGTTCGCTTCCGCTCCCTATGTGCCCCAGCTCGCTTTAGAATCGGGGGGGAGGGAGACGAAACGTGGGCCCGCCGCCCCTACACAGCAGGCGCCGCAGCTATCTTCAGAAGGACAGCGAAAGGGCGGGGCCGTAAGGAAGGTGGACCCGCACGCAAATTGCCTTGCCTGTACTTTCCTGTACAGAAAGATACTCTTCAGCCGGCAGCAGAACAAGATGTCTGGTCATGCTTGAAGGACTGTACACCTCCCATGACCTGTAGGAGCATCTTTCCGCAGTCATATCGCGGGTGTCGCACCACTGAATACTGTGCACGATTCCGTGCTCCATCATCTGTCGTATCCAACTGATGTGTCGCAAAAGGGTGCACGCAGTCGATTTCTTCAAGTAAGTGCTTGACAATGACTTAAAAACAGACTCAGCCTCCATGGCCAAAGTGACCTCGATGCTCAGGCCACCCAACTCAAGTACGTCTTTCAACTGAGTGGGAATACGCGGCCCTGCGTGGAGCTCGCGCAGAGCCACGGTCGTGGGATAAGCGTCTTCCAAATTATGGGCAGCTGCTCGTGTCTCTGCTGAATAGCTCGAGCGGACTTGCAAGCGGTGAGACTTGCAGCGCGCGTCGATCAAGTGGACGACGGGTTTACCAGGTGGCGTGTTTCCACGCCGTAGCAGGTGTGCCCCGCGAGTGCCACAGCCCTCGACGTCGTCACCGGCGTCTCCACTCAGGCGTCGGTAACCTGAGTCGCTGTGCAGGTCGACCTCGCCCGTAGGGGCCATCGTCTGATATGAAATCTTCTTGGGACAGGGCTGCAATTTCCTGGTGATCGCGTTCAGTCGTCGTGCTTGTGTATTGGTCGGTTCTTGGACACGTTGTAGAGATACGACATGCACCATCGACCGCACCTAGGTGATTAATGCAAACGCCAACGCGCCCCTGAGGCTGACGAACATGTCTGCAACCACCTTGGATGCCTGCGCGCCAGCGTCAGCGCCGGTAAGTTCAGGAAGTTGTATAGGACGGAGCTGCATAATGTATTCGTTTTGGTCCAATGCGACATTGCCGCACTCATCCGTGGTATATCTCACAACACAATTGGTGCACGTGTGCTTGTTGATTTTGCACTCACCAAAAGGTGTCCTCTACGCACTTGACACATTTGCCAATGGTGTCCTCTGTGCCGGCCATCTGGATATCATCAACATGCTTGGCCGTAAGCAGGTTGCTGCTCGTCTCGAACTCCTCGTCGTGGGACGTGGGTCGTAGACCAAACCCTCTGGTGGTCCTTCTGAGCTTTAGTGAGAAAGCTCGGGGTGCGCCTTTGGTGCCAATGCCTGGTTTGGGGCGCTGTAACCAGTGCTTTGACTCGTCGTAGTGTTCGAATCCTGAGAGAGCCCGAAGCACCGCGGCCGATCCAGGCGGCAAAGTAAAACACACCACGCGTTCCTTTCTCACCAGTTGCTTCAGCAAGCTCCTGGTAGATCAACCCGCTCAGGAAGGCCATGCTGATGTCGAGGGAAGCAATGATCCACTGCTTCTTGCACGCTGCCGCGCTCGCGAGTAGTCTCTGGCTTGACCGCCGCGCTGTTCCCGAAAAGGTTTCCACGTCGAAGGCTTCAGGGTCCATGAAGCCTCGAAGCACCAGGCGTAATATGATGACACGTTCCATCTCGCCCTTCTCGTTAATCACAAACTTCAATGTGTACTAGCATCTCGAAGACGTGATGTTTGACGCTTTGGATATGTCTTGCAGTTTGAAACACTTGATGTCAAACCATACCTTGAGTTCGGCGTAGACGGCCTTCGATACTTCCTCGGGATTCGCCAGGATGTCAGCCTCCGTGAGGAGGCCGTCTCCCATGACGACCGCAGCTCGCTTTGCAGCGGCGGAAACGTACACCCGCATCGTGGTCACACGGTCGGCATCTAGTATCATGTGCTGTTGTTCGGACAGGTCTACCTTTGACATTTCTGCCGTGAAGCAGAATTCTACAGATTGTCCGTTTTCGTCTGAGTCCAGTCCGTAGCTGCAGTCTTCGACCATGGAGCACAACGGGACGTGATACGTCTCCTGAGTGTCGGAGTCGCGTGGGTGTCCCCACTTAGGCAGGTGTCCCCGCTGTTCTTCAGCTACAGTGACCAGCACACGATGGTCTGGAACCATCTGCGCGGGCATCGTGAAAAGGTCCTCTAGTGGAGCTGCCTCCAGCAGTTCCTTTTCGTCTTGTAATTCTGCATGCCACACTTCCATGACGTGTGACTCGAGATCAGCCTCCGATTCCTCATAATTCGTAGGAAGACGTCCATCCTCATGTGGTGGTTCGGCTTCTGAGGCTTCTCTTGCAGTTTCATCCGGCGTCGGTGCACCCGCCAATTCCTCAAACCTTGTCATGTCCTGGTCAAAACCTGCTTCAAGTTTGGTGGACTTCACGCACTGGATGATTCTCGAATGTGCTGATCCAGTTATGTCGTGAATGTTCAACGCGGTGCTTTCTGCTTCATAATAATGAAATTCTGGATTCACATCGTTGTCATAGTGGACCAATGTGCAACTGTCAGCATAAGCAACCGGAGGTAGCTTATGGATACTTTTAGCTAACCCGACCGAAACTACATTCCCAATGCTGAAGAAGTTTCTGATATGGCACTGAAAAGTTATGTGCTGAGATAGACGGCTTGCACTGGTCATCTGAAGCGTCCCCTTCTTGGTCGGTACATAGCCGCATGTCGTAGCAGGTCTCCCCGCAGGTAAACTGGCCACGGACGTCAACACTGTCCGCAGTGCAGTGCTGTCGGCGCCAATTTCTCTGGCTATTAAAACTTCAATATAAAGTGAATGTCGTGCGTCGCCGTACTGCACCTGAACATCGCGGTTTCCCATTCGAATGATGACTTGACCCCTTTCGGGCTCGTTCCTGACAACTGGGCAAGGGCCCTTCCGACCTCCCCAGTCGTCCTTCGTGCCTGTGGGGCGATGGTAGTCAACTTAATCTCGTTCATCGTAGTAATAATGCTGACCGGTAACAGTTGTCTTTGTGCGTAATGCACGATTGGTCTTGGCTGCTGCTGTGGCTTGTGGGATAGCTTCAATGCAGACCTTCCGTATCATCTGTTCACGAGAATGATCCGACGTTTCCGTCGGCTGTTCGTGATCCAGGACAGGTAGGTCAGGGAGCAATGCTGGTTGCCGTCCAAACAGGGCGCTGCATGGAGACACCTTGTTATAGAAGGTAAACGCGATGGCGGCAGATAGGACCTCGTGCAGTAGTCGTGTGAACACAAGAGGTATGTCGAACCTGTTGAGTTTAGCCTCCATGGCATGAAGTAGATGGCGTGCTCCGATCGTCGTAGCGTGTTGTTCACGCGCACGTATCCTTAGTTCATTGCCCTTTGCCTGAAGGACTGCTTTCGCAGTGTCGTTGTTGAGGGCGCCCTCTCCGTCGGAGTAGAGTACCTTAGCAAGTCCAAACTGCATCCAGCACTGATGGTATGGGTCTAGGATGCTGGCCACCGTCTTGTATGGTATCGCGATTCCAGTGGCGTCTCTACTGCAACGATCGATGATCTGACATATAGTGTGTTCTTGTTTGTAGAACATCAGGTGACATTCAACTTCTTCGTTGAATTTGCCAGGCAGCGTAGTAGACGGCATAACCGTATGCTCTAGCTTGTCCCAAGCCCTGCACTCCCGACATGTGTCGCAGACACCCTTGATCAGGTTGAGTCTGACGCTGCCCAAACCTATCTTGGTTAAGATGAGTCTCATCTTAGATTCTTTCGCATGGAACCAACGCAAGTGTAGTTTCCACACCTCGCGTGCTACCACGCTTGGGTCAAGGCTTCGTAAATCTGGAAGACTGATTTGTACATCGAACCGTGACCAGTCTGGTAGTCGTGGTCGCGCAGCGGGGTTACCCGCTGGTGGCGGAGGAGGTGCATCTCCACCTTGCTGTCGGCCAGATCTGACTCTAACCTGTGGCAGTCGGAGGTGATCATCCGAACTCCCAGCTCCACTCGAGGCAGGTTGCCCTGCAGCAGGTTCAGCAGCATGACTCTGCCTACTGTAATATCGTGGCTGCTGGCGCCCGCCGTGGGTCCGGGTCTAGAGCCGGGTCTTGGTTCTCGTAGCCGCGTAAGTGGCGGTGCGGCTTGCGCCTCGGGCGGTGGTGCTGCTGCTTCAGCCGGAGCCGGCGGTGCTGGTCCTGCTGCCGGTTCGGCAGGAGCCGGTGGTACTGGTCCTGCTGCTGGTTCGGCAGGAGCCAGTGGTGCCTGTCCATGATTGTCAGGCAGCTTCCAGGGTTTGGCAA